TTAGTTTACAGAAGCTTCTCAGTCTCAGGAGGTCTCATTTATTCAATGAGGCCCTTAATGTTTGTGCTGCTGGGGTTATACGTAGGAAGTGGTCTCCTGTGCCCATGTGTTGTAGAGTACTTCACACTTTCTCTTCTATCAAGAGCCTACATTTTTTATAGATTAATTTTTTCACATTTTGAACACATACAGGTCATCATCAGACAGGGGCTTTTTGTGAAGCGTACGTAGACTGTCTTAAATTTGTGACAATCCCGTTCCTTAGCCTCGCAGGTACTAAGGTCACAGGTGTGAGCTACCATGTCCAGCTGAGGTTTTTACATCTCATCTGTCTCATGGAGAACAATAGTGAGAAGTGTAACAATTTTTATGTATTTTACCGGTATGTGTGTCTGTGCATGTCTGGTGCCTAAAGAGTGCAGAAGAAGGTGTTGGATCCGTGGCACTGGAGTTACAGAGGGTTGTGAGCTGCCATGTGTGTGCTGGGAACTAGAACCAGATGCTCTGTAACCACTGAGCCATCTCTGCAGTCTGAGAAATGTGCCTGTTTTTCACATTAGGCTCTGTGTATTTTAAGAAAACCCTCCCTATCTCTGAAGTCATAAAAGTCTAAAAGCTTTAAATGTTTTGTTTTATGTATCCAGTTCTTCATCCAGATTCATCTTGTTTTAAATCCCACATCTGAGCATCACCATCCTTCTCTTCCTTTCCAGTGGAGAATATTTTCTCTCTCTCTCTCTCTCTCTCTCTCTCTCTCTCTCTCTCTCTCTCTCTCTCTCTCTCCAAATAAAAGTGTCAAGCCCACAGTGTAAACGGGCTTGAAGGTTGTAGAATGCCAAGCTTGGCATCTCTAGGTACTAATGGCATCAGAAAAGATTACCTCAAGCTTTTTTGAAGTGTGTGTGAGAGAGAACACTGTGCCCACAGCAGGTATTTGTGAAGTGTGTGAGAGAGAGAACACTGTGTCCACAGGAGGTATGTTCGCAGTGTGTGTGTGTGGGAGAGAGAGAACACTGGGTCCACAGCAGTTATGTGTGAAGTGAGAGAGAGAGAGAACACTGTGCCTACAATGGGTATGTGTGAAGTATGTGTGAGAGAGAGAACACTGTGCCCACAGTGGGTATGTGTGAAGTTGGTGTGGCCGGGCGATGGTGGCGCACGCCTTTAATCCCAGCACTCGGGAGGCAGAGGCAGGCGGATCTCTGTGAGTTCGAGACCAGCCTGGTCTACAAAGGGAGTTCCAGGACAGGCTCCAAAGCCACAGAGAAACTCTGTCTCGAAAGAGAGAGATAGAGATAGATAGATAGAGAGAGAGAGAGAGAGAGAGAGAGAGAGAGAGAGAGAGA